GGGAACATTGACAAGCTGCGAGGTCCCGTCGATGGAGTTCTGGCTCACAGGAAGGAGATGATGTCTGGTGCTCGACCTCTGGAGGGCCAAAGAATCCAGGAGTCTGTCAACCTGCTCAGTCTCAGCTGGGGCAAACTGAACAAGCTCTACCAGGACAGACTTAAGTAAGGCTGGTCCCCTGTGTGCTGCGAGTCCTGCTCTGTGTGTGCGTTTCTGCACGCTTGCCTTTGTATGTGTTTTATGTGCACACGCGGTATTATGAGTGTGTGCTTACATGCATATTTCAAACATTGTGCACAATTATAAATAAACATTTTTCTGTGTGTGTCAAGGCGTTGGCAGGATTGTAACTGCAAGTGGCAGAAGTTTGTTTCGGATCAGAAGGAGCTGGAGGAGTGGCTGAATGATGCTGAGGGGACTTTGAAACTGGCTGAGAGTGACCCAGGAGCACACCGACAGCACCTAAGGGTAAAACACAGCTTTTCCTTTTCGAGAAAATGTAACTGCACAAATATAACCTGTAAATTAAAGCTAAATTTGACCGTTTGTTGTTGAATAGTGTCAACGACACTGTGGGAAATCTTCAAATTCCACCTGGATCTCTGTCTATAATTTTCACTTGAAATCAATAAATAATTAATCAGTAATAATCTACTGCGTCTGTATTATGTGCACAGGACTTGACTGAGGAAATACCGCTGCAGGAAGCGGTGCTGGGCAGAGTGAACTCTGCAGGGGTGGACATAAGCCAGATGAGCACAGCAGATGATGCTCTGCAGCTTCAGTCACAGCTCAAGTTACTGAACACTCGGTGGGCCAACGTCTGCCAGCAGCTCAACAAACGAAAGAGGAGGTAAATGTGCACGTGTGCGTGTCTGTAGCTTCCATATGGATCGAGGAACTCGTGCCTTGTTATAACATGAGTTCCACATCTTGGGAATTTTAGAAGCATTTCAAGCACTTGGTCCTGGTGTTCCAAGTATGCGCTGCCTGCTAACATGTTATGTGCTGGAAAGCCTCTGGGTCATATTTGACTCCCGCCTCTGTTGATCTTGTGCTCAGAGCTTGTTCCTGTCCTGCCATTATTAATGTCTCTGTGCTGTCTTTCAGTCCAGGCTTCTCTAACCACTTGTAGGATTTTTTCGTCAGCTGGTGGTGCGTGCCACGGAGAGGCCTATCCTTCCATGATGGTTCCTGTTAGGGATGGTGTTTGTGAAGCGGTGCTTGTAGAGAACCAATTCCAAGTATTTGAATTCGTTGGAATTGTTAGTGTGCCTGTCTGTTGATTCTGCTTGTTGTTTTTTGCAATTGTACTATAATCAGCAGATTTTTGTCATGTGGACTAAAAATGTATTTGGAGGAAAATAATGGTGCAATCTACAGCGTGGATGTGGCTTTTATTTTTATTGCACAAAAAGACAAGAGTGCAACTGTAAATTGCAAACTGTGTGCAGGACAGAAATAACTATAATGCTATGATAATAGCATTATTCTGCTAACACAACTTTGCATTTTTGCAAGCACCTGCACTGACAGCATGCTGATGCTAAGCTAGCCAAGAAGCCAGCGTGATGCTAAAGCTGGACGTGGATTTGTCAGAATCCTTTTATCATCATTAAACATCAGATGTTTCATGGGATTAGAAGCAGCCTGTTAGCAGCATGTAGAATCATTTCCACAGAAACAAATAAATATCTTGATGCATTCTCAATCATCCAGGAAAATAAATCTCCAGAAGTTGAT